GGTAGTAGAAAGATAGACAAGGATAGAAAGACAGACAGGCAGAGAGAGAGAGGGAGAGAGGGAAAGGGCCAGACACCCTTTAAAAAGAATTAAATCAGAAGTTAATTCTTGGTTTGGGCTGCTGGCACAGCTGGCAGAATCAACTCCCAAGTTGATCCTTTGAGGCTGGCGCATTGAATGGGGGCTGTTGCTGAAGAATTAACTTTCGAATTAATCTTATTCAACTCTTGTATTCAGTCTCTTCCCTGAATTTACGTAAGAGCACGTGCGTGCATTTGCAAGCTCAAGGCAGGGAGGGCCAACAACAATAAAATTGAGGGTCCGCGCAAAGCAGATGCACTGCTGTTTTTGTTGCTGCTTTTGCTGTAGTCTCGTTCATGTTCTTGAAGCGTCAGCGACTGTTAGTCACTGACATCAGGGCACGTAAGTTGTGAAAGATTGTTTTGGCGAACCGTGTGGGATGGTGTTGTAGAAGCTTTGACGAGGAATGGTTGCATTGTTGTTTGGGTGGTTCGGGCTCACCAAAAAATTGTGTGCCGCACAGTATGTGCGGGTGTTTTGAGAGAACTGAGACCACTGATATGAAGTGGGATGCTGTTTCTAAGAGTTTTCTGGATACTTGATGATACTTGTGTAGAGTCCGCGGAGATGTTCTCTCACGCCTGAAGAGAAAGCATCATCCTCGAAAAGCATCTGTACGAATCTATGCAAAGCCTTTCGACTCCGGCTTCTGACTCTCGCCTTCCTTTCAACAACTTGCATGCACTATTTAACCCATGGAGGGGTGGGGTTGAGGTTTGGTGAAGTTTGCTTGTCAACTTATTTACTGTAAACTCCTTCACTCTGAAAGCATCTTGGAAGCTATATTTTTCTTGGGCTCTTTTTGGTGTGTGATGTCCTGCGCTTAATTTACGTCCCAAGAGCCCAGTGGAATCTTAAAATCCCAGCACGATCGCTTGTGAAGACATCGCTGTGGTACAGGGGGCATTGCACAGAATGTGTGTTTCGACTTGTCCTTCGCAACTTGTTCATGGCACAAAGCAAAGTGCAGGCCCGCTACATCCTGGAGATGCGAGAAGTGTGGTTTGTGCCCTTTGTGAATCCTGATGGTTATGTGGCAAATCAGGCTGGTAGATATGCGCTCTTGTCGTTCCTATGTGCAGCTTCACCTGCTTTTCCTTCAGGGCCTTCGCAACAAGGCCAAACAACCTGCAATGAATTCATCGCAGTCGGTTTAAGTATTTTTTTCATTTTTTCATGTTTGTTTTTTTAAATACATATAATTTGTCTAAGACGAAAGCCTTCCGAGTATTGTATCGCATCCAATCCAGGTTATCAGGAAGAATAGAAGACCAACCTGTCGGTCTTCAAAGAATGGAGGTGTTGACTTGAACAGGCCCGGAAAGATTCACAAAGTTGCAAAATGCCGAAAATACATCAAAGCAATGGGGCAGGAACTTCGGCGTACATTGGTCCAGCGGATTCGATGGCTGCAACGAGGAGCATGGTGGAAAGCTGGTGGCCCAGCACTGCCAGCACCAACGGTTAAGTGATTCAGTTATCACCCACTAAGGAGTCTTTGAATCATAGATCCTAGTTTACGGCTATGCCGCCGTTAGCGGCACTGTTTAGCGGCACTGAATAATTTGCTTTTTTTTTGGGTCTTTTTCGGGTTCAGGGGGGTTTTGGGCTCGCAGTGTTTCACTTGAGGGGGCCTTTGGGGGGGTTCGGTGTTTTTTCTCCAGGCACGGGGTCCAGCAGTCTCTGTCGACGTCACCGTTGTTTTCATGCTTCATTCATTAGAACGTTTTGATTCGCTGAGATTTATGTTGAGCGTCAAGATGCTCGCCGACGCACCGAACTGTTTTCACTCCGCCATACTGACGGCTCTTGAGTTCTTCGAGTTCTTCTTGTTGCTGCTGGCGTCAACTGAGTGGAGTGCGTGGGAATACCATGGAATACCTGCTGGTCTTCTTGCGGTAACTGACTTCACTGCTGGTGATGAATCGATTTGAGTTTCACGAGACGTGCATGGTGTGTTCCCCTCGACTATACGATCTCAATGTGGCTTCGACTCTGCTTCTCGCTTCAGGGAAGTGCCCTTCTCCTGCTTGTCAGTGCAGACTGCAATCACGCTCACGAGCACGTTACCGCTACCACCAGTGTCACAATGTGCAAATTCCCCGAAGCCGCTAACGGCGGAGTAGCCTAGTTTACTTGAGAGACTTTCCTCCACCTTTCCTCATACTGTAATTGCATCATGGGTCCTTGATGGTCCTTGCAAGCCGTCTCAGAGCTGGGCAGAAGGAACGTCACTGTTACAAGACCAACGCAGCTTTGAGCTTTCAAGCATGTCGCAAGCGTCGTGGACGGCTTTGGCAGGCAACCGTTCTCTGAGCCGGAGACCCAAGCGCTGAAAACAATTTGCGAGGCAGGTCGAAAATGTCCGAAGCATTCCAAATCTATATCAAAGAATATCAAAGAGAGGAAAAAGAAGGCACTTGTACGGTGATTAGAAATTTTTGAGAGGAGTTTACCTCTTTTTGCCATTTTTTCTACAGATTTCTTGGTGTATAGAGTCAGGATTGAGAGGAGATGCTACATGATGCTACGACGGGCAGTTCTGGTTTTGTAGTGTGAACAATACCCTACAAGCGGGGTCTTTGCCAGGATAACAGTTTCAAGACGGCCATGAACTTTCACGCCTATGGCAGCATGCTGACTCACCCGTGTTCCGGCCATTTCCATTCAGTTGGCAATTTGCCATTCAGAACTCGCCCTCTCGGTTTTTGTTGCACCTTTTTTCACAATTACTTTTTGCCACAGGTACAACTGGGCCAACACAGACTTGCTGCCTGCTGAAGACAAAGCCGTTTACAAGGAGATTGCTCGAGTGTTTGGTGTGCAGCTTATACTGATGATACTGAAAAACTACAAACATTTTTGCAAAAGAGCTCAACGTGCCAACCACCGCAGACATGAAGAATCGAATAATTCTGAAGAATTATAGTATAAGTTAAGACTTTTTTTTTTGGAGGTGGTTCTTGGGTTCTTGCCTGTCAGTGGACACGAGATAGCGAAGAGACAAGAGTGTCTAAGTGTTTTTTTCAACTTCACTGTTTACCCGTCTGTCATTTTCAAGATCAAGAATGCTGTACAGATGCCCAGGCTTCAAGAAGTTCGGGACGGCAATTCAGACAGTGGTCAGGGCTCCCAAGGGTGCAAACTCAATCAAAGCATGCAGCATGCGGCAGCATACGTGCATAATAGCACGTGTTGGTCATTTTTGTTCCCGTCCTTGGTTTTCTCTTGTAAAACTCCATTATCTATGTCTTGATTCTGTGAGTAAACCAAAAGAACATTCTTGCAACCTTTGCCACACATCGTCCTTGGTTCTAACTCAGCAGCTTGAATGCCTTGCGCCGTGTCAAAGCTCAACAATCTGTGCCTTCATATATAATTGGTGGAACATCTTCAACCTAAATTGGTTCTGCCAAGAACCGCTTGATCGATCATGACTATCAAAACCATGCGAAAGAATCCGCTACAGTTACAGTGACACCAGGAGCACGCTGCATTGCAAAAGAAGGAGTGCATCTTCCAAACCACATTTGCAAAATTCCTTCCGAAGTAGTTCAGTATTTACTGTAGATATATATATATATATATTTAGTTTGAAACTCAATTGACTCAATTGCATCAGATGAAATGGCAGCCACCAATTTTGGGCGCCGCACAGAGCTGCCATTTTCTGCCAGCATTCAGCAAGTTGTTTCTTAATGTCAAGATTGTCAAGTGCCTCCACATTCTTTTTCCGAGAGCGCGTGGTGTTTGCATCTAAGTTTTGCTCACCATTCTTCACAAGTGGGCTATTTTTCCTGTTCAACATTGCAGGAGATGTATGCAATTGAATGCAGTCGAACGAATATTTGATTTGTCTCAACTTCAGTAAATAGGCACTTGCGGTATTTTGTCGTTGTTTTCCAAACATGTGAAACTGACGCTGACCATGCCAAGGCAAACGACAAGCACACAGGCTGATAGATGCTAGGACATGTTGTGACTTACTGGCACATAAGGCATTCCTTTATGACAGAGCAAGGACTCCCTCCTTGATTGTCTCTCAAACGAAACAAAGCCAGCACAGTCCTGGCATGGAAGCAACCATTACGACCAGCCTTTCTTTGCAAGGCAGTACTCAGAGCGACTTTGCACTGCACAAGTCTGGTCTTGCTTGCTTCAAATTAAGGAGAAACTTGCAGGTATCAGATACTGTCAAGTGTTTTATTTCGACAGTGAGTCTCGCAGAGCACAACAAAACTTGCTGGCCAGATGTTTGACAGTCCTTGAAGGCGTTTGATCGCGAGACTTCAATGGCGTAAAATTCTCATCAACAATGAGCCCAGATGATGGAATGTTGAAGTTATAGCAGGTGATCCCAGTCGTCCCACGAAGCATTGAGGTGTTGCCAAGACAAGTGCACCAGGTCCTTTAGGATGTTTGGGCAAGGCTGCAAGGCTTGGGTTCATTTCGCCGCCTTTACAGAACTGATGACCCCATGTCACGCGAAAATCAGCCTGAACGCTCCCGTGTTTATACTCAAAACAATAGATGAATCTGGAAAGACTTAAAGAGGCTGGTGGATGTTTGTGGTTGGCCAACCTTGCAAACATTTATAGGAATTGCCTTTCGGGTACACAATAGTGTCCTTTGTGTGAAGGGGCCATCAAAGCTGATATATCATCCACCAAGAATCACTCCCAGGAGATGAACAAACATGATGTTACATTGTGCCAATGAAAAGAACATTATCCTCCCCCTGGCCCTGCTGAACCCTGGCGGCGGTGGTGGAGGATTCGATTATTTGGTCCCAGGGGTCTCCGAATAGACGGTGTGGTAGATCCCTGCAATGCAAAACACGCTCTTTGCAAGCAACCCTTACTTTGGTAGGTGGCATCCCCAATATGATCAAACAAAGTATGAGTGAATCTTTCCATACCGGGGATTGGTTGGGGGCAGGGCCACAATAATACCGTTTTGGTATGAATGTATCAATCTAACCCCAACAGCGACATATTTAAACAAAGAACTTCAACAGAAACGGCGCTCGAGCTCCCCACGGCCCATCTCGTGCACTGCAGGAGGGAGGCATCGTGTGGAGACGTGTTTAACAGCACCTGCATATAGGACTCATGACTGAATACGTTAGATGACACACAGTCATGAGTATTCATGAATATTAGCCTTAACAGCAAACGTGGAGGGGCTTAACTTGTCGACCTACCGACTTTGCTGCCGCGCGGGTGTTTATCACACCGGCGCCTGCTCATAGGCACAGATTATGCAGATTTGTGCAGCAATGATTCTTTTGTTCCGTTCAGCTCCTCAACCAATCATAAAATGCATCCAGCGACAACAAAAGCCACTTGACTTGTTTATTTTTTGCAAGCAAAAGCCATGTTAAACAATGCCCGAACTCGGATGCAAGAGGGAATCATGAAATATAAAGTGTCATTCTCGCCCCAAACACAACGAGGTTACAGAAGGAAACACTCGCCACGCTCGTCACAACTTTCTGCGCACAGCACGCTTCAACCTTCAACCCCCAAAGCCCAACCTGATGGCTGCGACCAGTTTGGCTGGCTCTCCAGCTGCTAATCATTGAGACAAATTCAGGTGGCCAGTCGCAGAAATTACTTAACGGCGGACAAGTATGGAAAACTTCAATCGCCATACATTCGAGTCTAGATGGTTTTTGGATGTTTTTGGCCCTGATGAAAGTAGCTCCAGTAGCAAACTGGTATAGAATATATAAATGGCACAAGGAGTAAGTTGGTTTTCATATTAAGGGAACTCTGCCGAGGGAAGGGACGCAGTTGTTGTGCTCCAGATCCACACTTGATCTCGATAGACACAACATCCGGATCCGGGTTTGATGCTGTTTTGGAGGGCTACACAACCACTGGCGAGTCTGACGACTGGATGTATTCCGCGAGGCTGGTTTGAAGCAACAGCCTGTCAAACACAAATTGCATGTGTTCACATGAGGCACATTATCTCAATGTCGCCGGAGGCAGGGTGTTGCAGAATATGCTGACATGCTTCTTTGACATTCGCTCAGTCAGGTGGGTCCTGAGAGTGGTGGCTTCTGGCCACCACGATCAGAGATTGCTGGCATCAACTCTCGCAACTTTGATCGGACCTCGTTGGGGGCACAGTTGGGCAGAACCGGAGAGCTGGGTTCTTTCTTTGGCTTTCGAAAAGCTCAACCTGGCTCTTAGGCCCAAGCGGAGCTGCCCTTTCAATTCCTTATAATTATATATATATACATATATGGATGAACTTCAAAAAGGAGAAAGAAGAGATTACAAAAGGTAAGGCCTCTTTAAGTCACAGCCTAACCTCTATTCTTTTGAACTCTTTTTCTTAGGATATTAATGCTTGTGGAATGAACAATATCTTTTGAGGTATGTGGTCCTAAAGGCTGGAATGGAGCTGATGGTAGAGGGAGTGTGGAGCTTAACTTGTCAATGAGGAATTGTTGTTCCCTCCCGTATCGTATCATTCAACTTAGCACTAGTCAGCAGGTTCTTCTAATGAACCATTTCATTTGCCTGATCAAACCGTGGCAGCAATACTTATTGACCCGGGGAGCATTCTGAGGCCTACCAGCGACTGGAAGAGTTTCTCCAGAAAGGGCCTCGCCCGCCAGGCAGTCCAATGTGAATGGAGTTTGTTACACACAAATTGGAAAGTCTAGAGTGTCAAGTGCAGAATGGTTCTGGTTGCTGGTCTCTCCTCACTCTGCCCCTTTTGCTCGTAGGTCTGGATGATTTGGTAGGGGGTATACCAGAAAGCCTGCTACAGATCAGGACCAAAATATGTTGCTTGCCTTCAAGCAGTTTTTTTTGCAAAATTCCTGTGCGCAATGGTTAGATGATAGTCCAATTCAGCTTGGTTTGAGAGCGAGCATGTCATGAGACTGCAATTGGCAAGCTGTGGAGGATATCCAACCTGGGGCTTTCATCAAGTGTTGGGAAGGCTGGTTTGGGCGGATTAAGGATTGAGGTAGAGATGAAAGCAACACAGTGACTTTGAACCGCACAACAAGTACTTTACTTCGAGTGATCCCCACCATTACATGTCAATCTGACCATGTTTCTAACATTCATGAGTATTGAAACTTAAACATTATTTCGACATTCTTTCTGGCACCTCTTCTGACATTCATTCCCTATCTGGCATATCTTCTGACGCTCTTTCTGGCATATCTTCTGACACTCTTTCTGGCATATCTTTTGACACTCTTTCTGGCATATCTTCTGCGTATCTTCTGACATTTTATCTGCCGTTCTATCTAGCATATCTTATGGCTCGCGGTTGAGGTCCGGCGGGGAACACTGCCCGAAGTTCGCGGTTGAGGTCCGGCGGAGAACACTACCCGCCGAAGCTCGCGGTTGAGCTCCGCAACTGCCCACCGAAGCTTGCGGCTGAGGTCCGGCAGGGAACACTGCCACGCGACCCATGCAGTTGAGGTCAGCGGGGAACACTGCCACGCGACCCTCGCAGTTGAGGTCCGAGGAACACTGCCACGCGACCCAGTTGAGGTCTAGCGGGGAACACTGCCAAGCGACCCTCGCAGTTGAGGTCCGGCGAGGAACACTGCCACGCTACCCAGTTGAGGTCTGGCGGGGAACACTGCCACGCGACCCTCGCAGTTGACGTCCGGCGGGGAACACTGCCACACGACCCTCGCAGTTGAGGTCCGGCAAGGAACACTGCCATCCTGCACTTGCGGTTGAGGTCCGGAGGAGGAGGCGCGGAGGAGGAGGAGGAGGAGGAGGCGGAGCAGGACGACGGCAGCTGACGTAAAATCTAACAACCCGCACCTGACAGGTGGGGAAAACATTTTTTGGAGCAGCGCAGCTTTAAGTGCGCACAAGATTGCACGTCGTCGTGTTGCTCACCCTTGACTTCTACCCTCGCCCCCGCTGCGTGGAAGTTCATGAGCACTAACCAGGTACGAAACAGCTAGAATTACATCGTGCCCTCATGAACTATAGCTGTTGTCAGGGTACTTAGATCGGCCGTGGGCTTGCTAGTGCTTCACGATAGTTATCATACGTTATCATATTTCTTTTGTCGGTAAAGATTTTTCTAGGACATTAACTCATTAGCTAATAGATAGCTAACAAGCTATCTGACTGGTTAGCTATATCAAAATAACGTATTTTTTTCGGTAGTGGCTGGGACTGCTTTCAACCACTGCTGTTGGTGGTACTATTGTATGAGCCATGACTGTCACAAACATCATGAATGGGTGCCATGGCAACATGAATAAGCAATCAGTTTTCTGTGCCTATGAAGGCTGAAAGAATATAAGCGACATGGGCCTGTAAGGGTCACCATGAGACTCATGTGGATTGTCACAAATTACTTTACTTCGAGCGATCCCCACCATGACATTTCAATCATTTGTCTTGATGCCATAGTGAGGAGCATGTTTCCATGGTCGTGAGTATTGTAGTTTTCGATTTTGCTTGTGGGTCCTCGGGTTGTGTGCCGTGATTGTGTGTTGCGGTTGTGGTTGTGTGCTGTGTTGTGGTTGCGTGATTGTTTGTTTCCGTTTGTGTTTGTAGTTGTGCGTTTGTAGTTGTGTGTTTGTTGCTGTGTGTTGAGGCAACACTGGGCGTGGATGGTCGTGGTTGAGGTCTGGCAGGGAACACTGGGCGCGCGTGGTTGTGGTTGAGGTCCGGCAGGGTACACTGGGCGTGGATGGTCGTGTTACTGGGCGTGGATGGTCGTGGTGAGGTCCGGCAGGGAACACTGGCGTGGATGGTCGTGGGAGGGCAGACTGGGCGTGGGTGATCGTGATTGAGGTCCGGCAGGGAACACTTGGCGTGGGTGATCGCGGTTGAGGTCTGCACTGGGCGTGGATGGTCGTGGTTGAGGTCCGGCAGGAACACTGGGCGTGGATGGTCGTGGTTGAGGTCCGGCGGAGGACGACGAGGAGGAGGAGAGGGAGAAGGAGGAGGGGAGATGGGGCTGACATAAAATCTAATCTAACAACTCCCACCTGACAGGTGGGGAAAAAGAAATTTCTCGCACATCAGCTTGTAATGGCTGTCATTTGCTCTTGGCGCCAGCATTTCACTCACACATTCTGTTTTTGGACCTCTTGCAGGTAAAGGGATCTAGTAGTGTACTGTATGTCTCATCGTCGTTCACAGGATATGTAACTGGCGCTAAAATTTGCTTGACGCGCGCAAATGCCAAATCATCTGTGCCCTTCCACACAGCAGAGTTGTTGCCACTTGACGCAACGGATAACAGTGTCACCACAGACACACATTGCCCAGCGTGTGACAAATGGACATTCACCTTCCCACATTTCCACTCGGGGCCCCATGGAGCAGCGCAACATCACCCTTGCTTATATTGCCACTATGGAGCAACTTCAAAGTGTGGCCTGTAAACACTTCTTGCGCAAAGGGTTAAATAGTTTTTGCAATGCGCAGCATCTTCTTTGGCAAGGGTGATGCTTTCAACAGGCCTGACCTACACACAAAGTGGCTGGATCACCCAAAGAATGATTTTTTTTTTGACGACTTCATCCAAGACCACCCTTTCAAAGTATTTTGTGTTGTACATGCTCACAGCATGCTTGGACACATCTTTATGCTTCCTCTCTGCTGTCAGGCAGAAGCCACTGATGGTTTTTTATCATTCTGTTTTGCCAGCCAGCTGCCAGCAGGTAGAGCAACCTCTTCCACAAAATTTGTCAGCGCTGGCTCCAAAGTCATCAATTCTAACGCAATGGCATTGATCTTCTCACTCTTGCATGTGTTTCACTCTGCTAGGTTCAAACAATGATTTGATGCTGATCCCCTGCAGATGCTGTGGCAAACACCGCATGGCCACATATTTGAACAGTGTATCCCACACTTCCAAAGAACTCAACAGCAAAAATGCTGCAATTGCAAAGATGCCATTGCTGAGCAAGCGGTGAAGCAAATCATGCGCCCATTGTTTGCATGGTTTCAACACACCCTCCAGCAAAGGGCTGGCCAACAAGCTTTCTGCTTGCCGTGTAAAACCAGCAGCTTGCTGCCATCTTTGAAAATCTGCAGCAGTCATTCTTTTGGCATGGTAGTCATCTGCCCTTACCAGCAAGAGCCTGCAAAGGCCATGAGCCTAAGCAGAAGCTTGCAAAGGACACAAGCCTGCAAGACCCTGCAAAGGCCATGAGCCGACAAGGGCCACACAAGCAGAAGCCTGCAAAGGCTAGGGAAACACAAGCCTGCAGAGGCTAGCAGCGCAGAGCCTGAAAAAACGCAAAAAAAAACAGATAAAAACAGAAACAAACAAGGCAATTGCTGAGCACAGAGCAAGGAGCCATCCCTTTGTTCAGACCATGCCCACCAGGAATCCCTGACATCAAGGTTCACCTGAGCCTGTGCATATACCCAACCATCTATCCATCTATAACCTGTCCACCTATCCAACCTGCAAACTAGAAAAGAACATATTGCATTCAAAAGGAACCGCATCACACAAACGCAAACACAGAGGAACCACAAAACACAAAGAACCCAGCCAAGCAGCGACAGCTTCCACCCACTCGCCCAAATCAGAGTAGTCTCCTTTTGCCCTAGCTGCGCATCCACAATGCGGTCCTCCCCATGGGCTGGGCTGTCATCCACCCATCAATGAATGCGACTCCATTGAATGGGGGCCATCTCACCCACACACACAAACACAACACTTCACTTCACACACACTCTTCTCTTGAGTTGAAACGCTACATCAAGACATACATTGTGGACTCAAACTCCAATAGACAATAGTTTTTTAGGCAAGAAAACGACTGTACCAATATTTTGTTTTAAATTGTTTAATTCAAATGCATTTCATTTGCATTTGAGACTAAAATTGCACACTCAAATACGAGCCATTTGCATTTGAGTTTAGATTTTTTAACTCAAATACGATCCATTTGCCGACAGTTTTAGTAATCTGAATTTGTTTCTTCAATCCCTTCACCAAAACTTCTGTTCACAGCTTTAGTCATTAGGTTTTGTTTCTTTAATTTCCTTTGCCAAAATTTTCCCCGCAGTTAAGTCATATATAACTTTTTCTTGCAATTCCTTCCCAAAACAATGCCAACAGTTTTAGTTTTTTGGTTCCTTTATTTCCTTCACCAAAATTTTGGTCCACAGCTTTAGTCATCAGATTTCGTTTCCTTTAGTTCCCTCACCAAAAAATTTGTCCACAGTTTTAGGCATTAGGCTTTACTTCTTCAATTTCCTTTGCCGAAAACTTTTGCCCACAGTTAAGTCATAACTTTTTCTTTCAACTCCCTCAGAAAAAACTGTCCACAGTTTTAGTCTTTTGATTTAATTTCCTTCACCGGATTTTTTGGTCCACAGCTTTAGTCATCAGGCCTTGCTTCCTTCAAATCCCTCACCAAAATTTTGTCCACAGTTTTAGTCACTAGGTTTTACTTCTTTCACTTCCTTCACCAAATATTTTTGTCTACAATTTTATTCACCAGGTTTTGTTTCCTTCAGCTCCCTCACAAAAAAATCGTCCACAGCTTTAGTCCTTTGGTTTTTGCTTGCTTCATTTCCTTCACCAAAATTTAGTCCACGGCTTTAGTCATCAGGTTTTGTTTCCTTCAATTGCCTCACCAAGCATGTTGTCCACAGTTTTAGTCATTGGGCTTTGTTTCTTTAATTTCCTTCACCCAATGTTTTTGTCCACAGCTTTAGTCTTCAAGTTTCCCTTCAACTCCCTCAACAAAACATGTCCACGGTTTAAGTCCTATGGCTTTGCTTCCTGAATTTCCTCCACCAAACTTTTGTGTCCACAGCTTTAGTCATCTGATTTTGTTTCCTTTAAATCCCTCACCAAAAAGTGCCACCACAGTTTTAGTCATTAGGTTTTGCTTGTTTAATTTCCTTCACCAAAATTTCTGTCCACAGTTTTATTCATCAGGCTTTGTTTCCTTCAGTTCCCTCACCAAAACTTCTGTTCACGGT